CAGCCTTCTTGGAATAGAGACCATGATGACACAGCATCCACACGGTCAGGAGGAACGCCAGGGCCCTCCAGTGGGGGCCACACATCACACAGTGGGGACAACAGCAGTGAACAAGGTAGGAATCTTAGTGTTTTGGGGTTTCCAGCCGCCTAGCACAATAATTTCACTGTTTTTAGAAATAGTTTTTGTAATAAAATTTAAATCTGATATGGAAACCTGTAATAAGCTTTGCTTGAATTTATAGGGGTAAATGCCTGTCCTTGTAGTCTGTTCAACGTGACCTTCACCACCGAGATGGGGTTTTTATTGTGCAAATCTTTTTAAGGGAGGTGGCCACCAGCCTTGCTCTATCTCTATTAAAGAAATAAAGAGGAAATCTGTAGCTCTGGGTGTCTTTTTCATTGGTAATGCAAGAATCCTTGTATCTGGTTTCTAGATATCTCTGGAATACAGGTTTTCTTTTCAATTATATGGATAGTAAATTACAAGAGGGCGATCATACAACATGCAGATAATGTGCAAATATATTACACGCCCAACATAGTTTCCCTTTAAATTGTAAAACATAGTCTACCACTATGGTACAATAATTCAGACTTGCAAAATGGAATTTTCTTTTCCTTTTCTATTTAGGCTCACCTTTCTACACCTACCGTTTGCTTTCTCCTTTGTCTCTCCACCTCAACCAATGTTTTACTTTGATTAGGGAGGAAAAATATCAAACAGTATTTTCCCTATGGTTGTTCCATGCAGATCCCAGTTTAGACTGGAAAGGAATCCACCATTTTTGTTTCTGTATCTTAGTAATTGACAGAAAGGATTAAATAGAGAGAAAAGAAGGAGAGTGGAATATTAAATGTTTTAAATCTAAATGTTTCATGCATGAAGAAAATTTAAAATTACATGTTATGTATAGCTGTTCTTGGCCCTTCCCATGTTCTACTTGTTTTACAAGAATGCCAATTACTTTGTTTCAGAGCCAAACTAATGGTTCATTGAAGGGGAAAGAGATGGATCTTTGTAATAAGTATTTGATGTTGTATGTCCTATGCAAAATTGGTTTTTTTTTAAAAAACAAACAAACACTGCTGAAACAAAAAAGTACATTTTTTTACTTATGCAAACTCCAACTGCAATTGATTGCATGATAATTACATGTAATTGATTGCATGATAATTACATGCAATGAGTTTAAAAGGAACTTTCTTCTGTTACTGAAGAAAGTTCTAAATCTACAATGCTCATACATTAAAAAAAATAATTTTATGTTCTTGTTTCATTCAAACGTTGGACAACCAATGATTTAGCTGTTTAAAAATTTGGAAAGATTTGCTAAAAGTGTTATGTTCAATAAAAATAGGTTTTAAATTGAGATAGTCTTCTGTTTTTTGACCAAATGCAAGTCTACATCTGTTCAGGCCATATATCTTTATATGGAATTTTAAGTATTTATTTTTTATTTATTTATTTTTTAAAATATGCTGACTTAATCACAAGTGAAACCTAGTAAAAACTGGGCCCCAGAATGGGCAAATTGTTGAAGAGTTGAAGCAGAAACGGGTAACCCCCTGACCTCTGACTTTGCTGGAAAATGATATGCAACATAAATTTAAAGGGCCTATTTTTTTCTTTTAAGTATTTCTTCATATATGTGTTGCTGCAAAATTGGCACATTTTTCAAATTCATCCCAGTTGTAACATTAAATTTCTTGTTGCATAATTTATCTTTATGAAGTGAACTCTTCTTTAAGAGTGCAGTACAAAATCTCTGTGCTTACTTTTGCTGCTAAAAATACTTAAATGATTTAATGTGTGAATAATACTGCTTTTAGTGAGGCCTTTCGAAGTATCAATATAAAAGAAAAATCCATGTGTAACCCTTTCTGCACATTTGATACCCACTTGCTTGAATTGGTTTTATGCAGATGCCCTAATGCATGCTGCAGCTCCGGCAACTTTTTTTATTATCATTTTAGCTTTTCTTATTAGTGTTTCATTTCCTACTGTCATGTTCAACTGAATAGGGTTGCCACTAACAGTTGAAGTTTCTTGAATCTAACTTGATCAAGAAGATCAATATGGATCATTGGAGTACCCATAAAAAGAACCCCTAGATCTAAACTGAACTTATTTTCTTTTTAAAATCTTTTTAAAATGCTAATTGCATTTGTACAAATAAATCGGTTTCATTTGAAAAACTTCCTTCCTTGAGTAACTTTCCTGACTGAAGCTTCATTCCATTTATCACTAGTAGCAGTCAATATAATAGGTGTGCATGCTCCAATGTTTTTAATGGAGAAAAGAGGAAGATAACTCTTGTGGTCCCAGTTAAGGCAAAGGATGCATTGGATTTTTATATTCACTCACTCACTCACTCACTCTAAATGCCCCTTTATTATATTTGCATTCTTATCTTGCCACTTGGCTTGGAGTGCAAGGAGAAATATAGAAAAATACCCCTATAGCAACAATTCTGTGATGTAGGCTGGGCTGAAAGAAGATTATTGACAAAGGTTTTGCTGTACTCAGAATGATGTATAGCGATACTTCTAATTATATTGTACATTGGATAATACTGTGCACACCTACTTCTTTATTTTCTTGGCTATTTCTGGTGTCTTAATAAGGTACTCTGTGACTAGGTGCATGCTACAAAGAGCAAGATGTAATGAGTTACAGAATCAGAGTCAGAATCTCTGCACAATCCTTGTTAAAGAAGTCTAGCTTTCCAAAGCAAGTCTGAATATTCTCTAGTATTTAAAAATAAAAATGAGAATATTATTTAAAAAAACTAACACAGTTGGGTAAGCTTAATTGTGCTGATTGGTGCTATGGTAAAATACCATGTAGGAGGCAAACTTTATGGAAGGGGACTTTGCTGCAAAAGATCTGATAGAGTGATTGGGGAGTAATCTGCATTCTTCTTCTTTTTTTTTTTTTACTGTATGCTGGAGCAGAGCTCCATTATTTGCCTAGTCACTATGGAGAAAGAAAGATTTTCTTTCATGCATAAATTACACTGGTTGGTTTTAGAGAAAAATGTTTGGCATTTTGTAACCTTGACTTTTAATAAGCTGGATATTGATGATGATGATGATGATGATGATGATGATGATGATGATGATGATGATGGAAGAAATAATATGCAATTTTAGAAATCTGGTTTGGATCCAGAAGGGGACTTTTTGGAATAGAATTGAGTTATGGCATAAAGATACAGAAGAAAGGAAAGGAGGAGATATATGATCACATAAACATCCACCTTCAGATTTAAAATTTCTCCTCAAAGGCCTTTTTAAAAAAAACATTTTTACCCAACTAGTGTTAAAAAAAAAACCCTCAAAAAGGAGAACAGGCCTTGGAAGAGACGAATCTCTTTAAATCTTCTCCTATCCTTTCAGATCTTAGTTCTTGTATTCAGGAACCTTGTTTTGTATTCAAGAATGAACTTCACAAGTCACAAAGGAACATAATCTGTGATGGCATCAGGGTTTAAATCCAGGGTAAATGCTCCTCAAGGGTTTCAAGGCCAAAACAGTCCAGAGACTCTCTTCCTCATATAATTCCTCAAAGCCAAAACACATGGACCAATAGCCAAACTGTTGTGAGCACTCTACGTAAGGTTGCAACTCTTTACATATTGAGCATCAGGAAATCTATTTTCACTTGAGAAGTATTGCTTTTGAAGGATAGTCACCCCAATTACTTTTTAGAGTTCAATCCAAAGAAACCTGACACAGTCAGAGGGGAGCTCCTGATTTGGCTTAGTTGCTGTTTTAGGTCTGTCCTTATGCAGGGGAAATTTTAGAATGAATGAGTAAGAATACTGTTTTTCCTTGCTTTGCTTCTTTCACCTACTTGAAAGTGTTCAAGGAATTTCAGCTTGTTTGTTTTACTTCTTGGTTTCAAATACAGTTGAGTAGGAAGTCTCGTGGCTTAAATATATAGCTTAAATAAACCCCTGTGTTTAATTGGATCAAATTCTTATTTGGGCATTGAAATTATTTCCTATTTATTTATATTCTATCTATTTATATAATATTGTAAGACACCCAAAGTCGCTTTCAAACGAGATGGGCAGCAAATAAATTTAATAAATAAATATTCTAAAGCCTAGGCGTTCTATGTGTAATGCTTAAACCCCTTCAACTAGTGTCTACTAGGGCTACTAGGGCTACTAGTGTCCATGACTCAGACCTTGATATGCAACATTGTTCTTTAAAACAAAAGGAATGGAATGTGTTTTTTTAAGAGAAAAAGCATCAGCACTGGCAGTGTTTTCTTGGCTTTTGTAGAAGTGTTCGGGCAACCTATTGGCAAAAGGCAATTCCATTTATTGTTGAAGAGAATTTCAAGGCAGTTGTTTGGAGGTTGCAAAGCTAGCAGACAGAGCTAGATGAACTGGGAAGGGGGGGTGCACACATTATGTTCCAGATGACTGAGCAACGATTTATACATCAGCTCGCCTTTTTACATGAAGAAGAAAAGTAATAACAGCACAGACTCAGACATCTGAAGCAGTCAGATATCTGATGACTAATGGGATAGGTGGGAAAGAGCTCTCTGATTGGATGTCTTAATGAGCACATTTTGCACAGAGTTTGGGCAGCAGTTCCCCTTGACCTTTGCCCTTTATTGACCGAACTGACACTTCATTTTTCACATACTTCCAATTATGGCACAGCTTAAGTGTTCTTTCACTCTTTTATAGTTTGCTCCTATATGGACAACTTGAGAGTGGTTGAGATATTTTCATTTGAGCAACGCCATGGCAGTTCACTATTTAGTATGTAATCTGAAACTGCCACCATTCTGTAATTTTCCCTAAATATTTTTCTTTTAAATTTTCAGGTAACATTTTAAAGTAAACATTCAAATACATAGATAAAGCTTGTATTTAAAGTCCCTCCTTGTTGCTCTCCTACTCTGTAAATTCAAGAGTTTGAATGATATGTTATTTGTTCCCACACATCTGTTTCTCAAGAGACTCCTGTAATGTGATGCCCTAAAATGCATTTTGACTTCCTACTCTTCAAAGAGAGCAAAACATAATTGTGGCTACAGTTGTCAAGTCCTTCGAGTACATCAAAACAGCATTGTTGTTCACATAATTAC